ATAAGTTGGCTTTCTGAGAGACACTACCTAACCTCAAGCAGGGATGTCCAACCTGTGACCCATGGGCCACATGCAGCCCAGGATGACTAGATTTTTTTTTGATTATGTGTCACAATATATTTAACATGTGACGCAAGGCAACTCTTTTTCTTCCAGTCTGGCCCAGAGACACCAAAAGTGTGGACACCCATGCTGTACAGCACTGTTACTCTCACATGGCTTTTCCGCATTGACTCATCATCTTTTTTCCTTTGAAATATTTATAATCTACTTTGTTCTTTCTTCCTCTATGACTAATTTCTTCCAACCTCCTCGACTCTTTGTGAAGGCACGGTCTACCTATTAGTCTGCCTAAGAGATGCTTGAACCGAAGTCTGATAATTTATGGTTTTTGCCCAAGAGTAAACAATGAACATATTTATTAACTTCCTCTTGATAATCTCACTGCCTCTTGCGGATCATTTATGACCTCGTTTATGTCATCAGGATTTCTGCTTGATGTCTCTCACTTGCCAAGTGAACTGGCTCTGTGGCCACGGAAAAAGCTTTATTTCATTTACTCATCAGGTATTAAGTAAAACCTTCTAAGGTCCACACACTGTTCTAGATGCTGGAGTTACAACAGTGAACAAATGGACATGGCCTTTGTCCTCGTGGATCTTACATTCTGTGACAGCTTGGAACTGATACCCTCAGTAGACACTGTGACTGGGTCACCTGTTCGGTCCTACAGTGAATACTCATTTGTGGTGGTGAGTTGATCTCATTGTCATCAACAAAAACAGGTCAAAATGGTCAACTGTTATTTTCTTTACAATCGATTATCCAATTATAAAAGATGAATAGTTAGAAAATAATTGGACACAAAGAAAAGGTCTCAAATTCCTTTCAGTTTATAGTCAGCACTTCTGGAAGAACAGAGTGAGTATATGGGAAAAAAATCTGCGTGGGCTTGCAATTGATTTGACATATTACAGACTCTCTTTAAATTGTTAATTCTAATATAACACATTGCTGTTAATTACTCCCACTCATTTATATTGTTTCTGTACCTCCTAGTAGGAACCAAAGCTAGAGAATCTGAATATGCGCCCATAGACAATCAATTACATGGGTTAACCAGAACTGGGCTGGAGTGTCAGTGTTAGTGGTATACTCTGATTCAGCTGTGTAGTATAAACAATATGGCCATATAATTTGGTGTCCAAACTAGGACAGTTTTTGATGGTGAAGAGCACACATCAAATACAAGGGACTTAGTTCCACCTAATCTTGGCATTTTGAAATAGCAAATTACCAGGCTACTACTCTATTTCCCTTTTATCAAGGTCATCATCAAGCCAGTTCATCATAATTAGGTCAAATTATTTCTTATTGACACTTTTTTCCCCCTTAATACTCACCTAAGAACATGCTTATTGATCCTAGAAAGAAAAAGAAAGAGAGAGAGGGGGAGGGAGAAAGAGAGAGAAGAGAGGAGAGAAAGAGAAACATCTATCTGAGTGAGCAATATCAATGCATTGCCTTCAGTATGTACCCCCATCAAGAATAAAACCCAAAACCTAGGTATGTGCCCTGACTGGGAATAGAACCCACAACCCTTTGGTGCATGGTATAGTGCTCCAACCAACTGAGCCACCCTGCCAGGGCTCTTATTGACACTTTTATTAAGGAACTCTTTCCTAAAATCCTCTCCCACTTTGGTGGTGGAGGTGGTGGGGAAATAGACCTCTATCTTTTTTTTAACAAAGAGAGAAGACATTGAAGGCTTCCAGCCTCTAATTTTTATAACCTACCTACAGGCTGGCTCACTGCCTCTTCTGTGCTCCCATTCCAGCTGTGATTGTCTCTATCTTATTTTACTATATCTTTTAAAATTATGTTCCTATCATCTTTAATAATCTTTATGCTTCTGTAGGGCAGAGGTCATGTTTTATTTATACTTTAACCTCCTCTCTGTGCCTCTGGTTGTTCATCTTTAAAATTAAGATAACAGTACTAACCACATAGAATTTTATGAAAGTAAAATTAATTAAAACATCTGGAATCCTTATAATAGTGCCTGGCACATAGTAAGCTCTTAGTAGTGTTAGCTCAATATTATTATCATTATCATTTGTCATCATAGTACCTAAAGTCAATGTCATATACTCAAAAATATGTATAATATATATTATTAATTCATCAAATATTTCTTACTGTTTTCTATATTCAACACACCCTATCCACTACAAAGATGAACTGGGAACCCATTTTTAGTAAGGATGGGGAACAGGAATTAGATATGCACATAAATAATTATAGTATAAAATAAAAAGTAATGGGTGATGTGAGAGAGGTAAAGATATAGCAATATTGTTATTTTTAATAGAGAACACTCTCAGATTGAAAGGATCAGGGAAGACTGTAGGATTGATATGGAATTTCAGTTGACTCTTGAGGAAAATACAAGATTTGGGTATATAGTCATGTGTGTTAGAGGTGAAGATATTCCAAGGATGACTACGTTAGTAAAGTCATGGAGAAGGAAAATCTTGAGGTTTGCTTAGGATAATGGCAAGTATTGTCTAGGAGTTAAGCTTGAAGAAGACTTGAAAGGTAGTCTGGAACTAGATATTGAAAAGGTCTTGAATGTCAGACCACAGATTTTGTATTACATTTGACTTATTTTCTATTTAATAAAGATCTGGGTTTTTAAAGTTATGAATAAAAACATGAAAATTCATGAACTGGGAGGCTCTCCCTGTTCTGGTTCACTGTAGATAATGGGGAGGTGGTTACGTAAGAAGTCATCCTGGCGCAGACGCAATGCCTCTGCCTCTGAGGCAGGGCCCTCAGGTTCTGAGCCCAGTTCTGCTCCCCTATGTGACTCTTACCAAGTCTGTACCCTCCCTGCCTCTTCATCTGTAACAGAATGAATATTAAGGGTATATACAGATGGACTCTAGTGTCTCCTTTTTTAAAACTTTTGAGGAGGAAAGAGGATATAATAGAGTGCAGTGTTAGGAGCAGAAGTTATTTATCTCAATGAAATAAACTATTGTTTGGTTTGTTTTTTTCTTTTTTTGAGTAGTCAGCCTTAAAAGTTGCTTTATTATACTTATTTTTTAAACAAACTATATTTGCACATTATTGAAAAATAAGATAAGGAAAGAGGAGACATAAAACCACCAATAATACTATCCCTAAGAGACCTATACACATTCTGCTCTGATGGATTTTGTCTGTTGCCCCTTTTTGGGTCTGATGATGGTACCTACCTAGTTCCCTTTTCTCTGTTCTCCCCTTCATCACCTCTTGGTTGATGAATTTCTCTCCTGTGTATTTTTGCATATATTTCTCTTTCTAACCATTCACCTTTTTGTTTGTTATTTCTCTGCCCATCTGTCTCTTCATCTACCTGTCTTCATATACATATGTATAGTAATCGTAATATTTTACAAGATTGTGAGAACAAGAATAAAAGTATCAGAAAAACTTCATTAAGAGCAAGTTTAAGGAAACAATAGGCTCTGATCCTTAGCCTACTTCCTAAGCCTATCAAAATTTAAAGAAATCCCAAGATTTTCCGATTATTTTCTTGGGCATGCAATTGGAGAGCCCCAAAATTCGCAGGCCCTAGGTTGCGGCCTCTGCAATCCCCTGCTCCAGTGTTTTAATTCCTCAGTGATGCAAGGAGATAGGCTTTGCTGAGCCACAGCAGTTCATCAACAGGAGTTCTCCACTAATAAATGTCCCAGTCTGGCTGAACCATCATGATTAATATTTGTAATCAAGGTCTTCAGGCATTAGAAAATCCCAGGATGACTTCTGGATCACCAGACGATTGAATTAGAGTCTGCCTCAGGTTTTTTGTTGGGCGTACATTTTATTATATTTTAATATTTTGAAAATTGGGATTAGAAGTCTACTATTGATGGGGGGAGGCAGTTTGTGTAACCTGATGCGTGTGATTAATCTGCACATCTCTCTCCTTGGCCATTCCAGATAACAGAGTTTTCTAGATTTGTTTTTATGCCCAAGAATAAAATTATTCTCAAGGACAGAATAGTCTCTTAGGAGAATTTTGACTACTGAAAGAATAAATGGTAGTAAACACACATTGCCCATTAAACATTTTGTAGATAAATGAAATATAGTATGGGCTCTAAAAATATTCTGATACGGAAGTGGTACTTCAAGGAATTTTTGGCTTTATGTCTTTCCCTAGAGCCTTATACACAAAAACACTCTTCCTCTGCACCTTCATACATTTTTAAAGTACTTATTATCAATAAGGTACCTCCTCATCTTTGGAGACTCTAATTCTTGGTAGATTGTTGAAAAGGAGCTAAAAAGAGCGCCCCAAAATGTCCTCAGAGGCGTTGTTTGGAGAACTTTCCAAGCCTTGACGCCTAGTCATTAAAGTTTTGTGGTAGAGGCAAAGGGAATCTCAGGAAGGGGGGAAAAAAATCAAGTCTGAGCAGCAAAGAAATGGGAGAATGTTAACCTTTGGGAGCTCCAGAACCACTCCCATCCCATCCTCGAAAAACAAAACAAATACGGAATGCAAAGAGAAATGTAAAGCCAGTTGGGGGAAGCGGGTTCTCGAGGGGGAAGCGTACACCTGGAAAGTTACTGCAGCAGCGAAGAGAGAAACCCAAATTATAACCCTTAAATAGACTCGTAAATCCTCTTCTTTTCCTTCCCTCCCTTCTGCTTTCGGGATAAAAATGTACCCAGCTCCGGGAGCATAATCTCCCCTAAAGCTTCCGTAATCCATCCTGGAAAATCGTTTGGGAGTAAAGCACAATCCCAATCCAATCCATTTTCTAGTTTGCCAAGGAAAATCCAGTCCGGCGTTTATTTTTAGCAGCGCTTCCCAGTGACCGAATGCTACAGCTCCTCAGCGGGGATAACAAGGGACCGTATTGGGGAAAGAAACGAAGGGGGCGGGGAGCAGGAGGCGGTGGAGAGGGGAGGGGGACGCCCTGCGCATGCGTGCCAGCGCCCAAGCAAATCGTACATCCAGCGAGCAAAGTGGGATGATCTGTCACTACACCTGCAGCACCAAGCTCGGAGGACAGCTCCTGCTTGCCGCTCCCAGACCCAGGTAAAAAAAAATAAAAAACCTGAGCGGGCACCGCGCATGCATTTCAATGCCAGATGTGCTTCGCAATCTCTCCCCCATAGAGGCAATCTGCTGCTGCTACTAAGTGTCCTTTGGTGGCTGATTGCAGCTTCAAGGTTTAAGAAATCCCATCTTTCAGGAAGCCTGAGGGGAAGGAAGGAAGTACGGGCGAAATCATCACGTTGGCTTCCCAGATTTGGGAATCTGAAGCGGGCCCACATCTTCCGACCAACTTCCACTGAACTTCCCAGCACTCGAAAGGGACCGAGATGGAGAGCAAAGGTATGTAGCTGTCCCCATCGGGGGACTTCCCGCTGCATGCGCGTGTGGCCGGGGCAGTCCTCAGCGAGGGGACTGCAGTGCTTGGGGAGCGAGCATCGTATTAGGTCGATAGGAGGAGATGCTATGTCCGTTGCAGCACCAGGGAATCCTGGCAGAAGGGCCACTTCTTTTTTTACTCCCACAGCTTGGAAGACACTGTTTAATACTCCGCCAGTTGCTTAGTGAAGTGCGTTGAGTTGTTTTTATTTATTTTTCCTTTCTTGGGTCGGGGAGAGTCCATAGATGGTGGGGGAGGAGAGATATGTTGGTAAAACAATTTCTTTTCTGTGGAATGGATGGGCTCAATAAATATAACTAATTTGCTTTAGGATCGCTGACAGTCATGTTTGTATCTGATATCCAACAATGCATTGCTATAAAAAATGTTTGGATACCTCCACCCCCACCCCACAAAGATGGTATTTCTGGGTGTGTATGACCACATCCTACTGCATTTTCAATATATATCAGCAGAGAAATTGGGTCTACTTAAAACGGTGTGCGTTAGAACTGACCTCCAGGAAGAACAGTGTATCAGGAGTACTGCTTCACTCCCAAGCATGATGCGTGTACTAGTTGTGGGCATGTATATATTAATATTCTCCTCCTAAGCAATTCTGTATGATGTACACATACCAACTGGGAAATGAACTGTAGAAATCAACTTCTGGTGACATATTTAATACGCATAAACAAAATGGTTATTAAAATTGTAAGGTTGGATACTGCTTAACTCCATATATGCAGGTCTCTCCCTCCTCTTCCTCCTCCTTAAAACGCCCACCTGGTTCCAAGAGCCTCCAGTGATGTAGTCGGATACCTAGTAGGAATACTGGATGTACTTAATTCTGGTAAAATAAAAAGAAATGATGTCAACTTTTATGAAACTATATTCATTACCCAGCACTTGAGAAGCTATATTTGAAACAAGGTTTTATTTTTAAACCAGGAATGTCAGTCATTGTGTTAATGTGCTCCGGATCAGGGAATGGTGGTAGGTTACCTATTTCTGGGCTGATTAATAAAACTAGCATATAAAACATGTTCAATAAAGTATTTTAAGTATTTAATTAGTAGAGTTAACTGTTTGAACCTAGGTAAGCATTTACATACAGTATGAAAGGAACTGAATTGACATGGATTCAGACTAAATGGCAATTTTTAGTTTAGGCAAATTATTCTTATAACTCACTGATGGGCATTTCCATGACTAACAACAATGTACATGCATAAGAAAAATCTATGTCTATAAATATAATGAGGCATATATTTATTAACTCTATTGCAGAATCCATTTTAAAATGAGAAGCCAATCTTAACTCACAGAGGTCTTCCAGTTAAGTATTTCTAGAACATAAAATTAATGACAGAGTACCCTTTTACTATAAAACCATTTTTCTGTGTGCTTAGATGACATCTGCTCTTTGGTTATTAACTTTTTTTTTGGCAAGGCTTCTCGGTAACATTTTGGCCTCCAATTTCTATACTAATTTCTTATCCATCATAAAGAGGATGTATCTCTTAGCAATAAATTTTTATTTCTCTTCCTTGTCCAGAAAATATATTACATGTCACTCCAAGTTTCAGGTGGCTTATATCTCAATTTGACAGCAGTAGAGTTCTAGTTATTCTGCCAGTCTTTGGAGTTTTAAAAGGAGAAAGAATCTGCGAAATATATCGGAGAAGAATCAGGCCAGAACTTCTTTGCTTATCCAGATAACAGTGATACAGGCATGAATCACAGCACTGACTAAAAGACAATGAAGAATTTTGCCCCAAGCCAATATTGTGGTAATTTTGCAGAAGTACTGTAACTGCCTGATGCAAAAGACTGAGTGAAAGAAAGTCTTTATGCACATTAGTTCTCAGACTTTCTTTACAAGGCTTAATTAGCCAGGTAGCGGTCACATTGAGAATGGCTAATTTTTTTACATATTGGCCTTATCTTCTAAGTTGATACAAATGGCAGACCTAAAAATGATAGTCAACTTAAAATTTTTATTATAGAAGAAAAAAAGTGTATTAGGAGGTGTGTTTCTGTATCTCCTTCAAACTGGTGCATTTTTCATACTTTATGCTGCTGCGTGCGAACTTCTTTCCCCAACAGATTCAAATCTATTTCCAGGAAGACATTCACAAATGTAAGTACATATAATTATTTTTTTTCTAGTGGAAACTCTTTTAAGGTAGATTCAAAGGGCATTATGGCATATGAGGGTTCAAGAGTTCTTCATCCCAGAAAAAAGTCTAACAGCGCAATTCATCTTGAATCCTGTCACTGGCATTTGACAACCTTCACATTATTTCCAGTTTGAAAACCTTTCTCAGAGCACTTGCCCAGAATCTCCAGCAAGTTGAACTTCAGTTATTGAACAAATAAGATCAATTTTCTTCTGCTTCCTTACTTATTGCTTTGCATCACTTCCTGTCATCCAGGGTAAAGAAGAGAGGAGAATAAATCAATTGACCTAGCAATCAAGTCACCATCTAATTTCAGTGACCTTTATACATCAGGATAATTAATATTGCTTCAAAGATTTGGGTTGGTTGGTGCACGGTCTGAACATCTTTGGCAGAATTTCAATCTTGCAGTGGTTCACAAACTTTGCTGCCCATTAGAATCATCTGCCATGCGTTTTGACTATCCTCATGCCTAGGTTGCACCCCGTACCAGTCACCTCCAGATGTTGAGGTAAAAGAGGTTTAGGTAGTTTTAAAAGATCCCAGATACAGCAGTGTTTGGGAACCACTGATTTAGGTTTTTGATAATCAAAATGTTCTTTGAACACTAGCTTTTCAACTGCAGATTTCTTCCAGGACTACTCAATCAGAATCTTAATTTAACAAAATTCCCAGGTAATTTGTATGAGCATTAAAGTTTGAGAACCATTGATTTAGAGTGAGGAAAGAAATTCATCTTATCTGTCTATCTATCTATCTACTACTTGTCAATCATTTCTCCCTTTCTTTCTCCTCTCTTTTCCCCTCTCCTGACTGCAATATTACATCTTTTTTTTTTTTTTTTGGTCCAGTTGTGTTCTCAACATCACGCTGGCATATTAGAAACACCCGTAGAGCTTTTGAAGTATAAAGATGCTTAGGCCACATTTCTAGACATTCTGGTTTAATTGGTTCTGGAGTGGAACCTGGGCACAGGTATTTTGAGAAAAGCTTCCTACTTGATACTAATGGAGAGCTAGAGTTAACCACTGGTCTAGGCCCTTGCTACTCAAGGTGTGCTCCACAAACTGCATTAACAGCAGCGTTAAAGCAGCATTAACATTACTTGGGAACTTGTTAGAAATGCAGAATCTCAGTCCCCACTCTAGATTTACTGACTCAAAACTGCAGTTCATCAAGATCTGCTGGTCATTTACATATACATTAAAGTTTAAGAAGCACTGGTCTAGATCTTGGGGAACTGATCATACCTGGGAATGACATGATTTGGGGCACCTCAGCAGAGATTTGATATAATCTCACTAATCAATATGGAAGCTCCTGGATATTTATTCATGGTATAGATCTTCTTGTTGCTTTTGGACAGAATGGAAGTAAAAGAAAAAAAAAAGTCTTCTCCATGGTTAGATCAGAAGGCAAACTTACTTATTAAAATTTTTTTATTGAATTTGTTGGTGTGACATTGTCAATACAATTATATAGGTTTCAAATCCACTTTTAAATATCCTCTCTGCTCTTCCTCAAGCCATTTACTTTCAATCCCTGATTGTCTTTAAACACTTATTTTCTAGGTCCATTTTGAACTCTTGACAGTGTCCTGATATACACCCTTGGTAATGTGATATTAGACTTCTTAATCAAGGTACATCTTAACAGAGTAAATATAGCTTTACCTTTACCCATTGTCATATGTCTCTGTTTGGCTCTTCTGAGATTTATTTGATGTGGCCCTCACTCCATAAAATCTCCCCTGACCTCCCCACATCTAATTAATATTTTATTGGCATACTTTATGTGACCTAAGTATTTGTTTGTCCCTTATGTACTCCATTTCTTATAATCAGCATTGTAATTTTTGTGGTCTTTATTTAAATAAATGTTTATTGAGCACTTGCTATGTTCCCAATATGCTTAATTCTGAGAATATAACAGAAAACTAAGATGCAATATCTAATCTTAAAGATTTCATTCTCATGACTTCACTAATAGATTGGCTATATTGTGTGAATAACATCCTTGCAGCTACCCAGGTGCCTGCCTCAGATAAAATATTTTCATGTCCCTATGTAAATGGGTACTCTAGGGACTCAGGTTGAATAGCCTTAATTAGTTTGCCATCTCATGTTTGTATATCAGACTGTAAATTAGGAGAGGGAAGATAAGTTTGGCTAGCAGGAGAGCTACAGAAGCATCAGTTTGATTCCAGAGCATAGAAGTCAGTAACGTGACCTGCTTTCTCTATAGAGAACTGCATATGTGTTCTCAATGAAGATTCAGCTCTGTTCTGGGTTTCGCACCATCCATTGGAGTTCAGCCAGAGCCATGGACTACTAAGTTTAACATATATAACAGTCATTTCTCTGAAACCTGGATGGTTTGCCCTACGGGACAGAAGGAACATGTCTATGTAGTAACTCATTTAAGGAACTGGAAAGTGATTTTAAGAAAAGCTACCTTGTGGTTAAAAACAGCAACTAAAATATTGAGGTGACTGTGGTGGAATAAGTAAAATATATGCAATAAAAAATTCGATGTAATAGAGTAGGCATCGGACATAGGAGATCCCTGTTCTTACCCCGGCTTTAATGGTGTTACACCATTAGACAAATCACTCTTACTCTCTGAATCTCAAGATTCTTAAATACTACAGGAAGTTAATTTTGTTTAATTCAATATATTCACTGAGTTGCCACAATATTTCAGGCACATTGTTAAATGTAGGGGATAGAAATATAAATAGTGCATTGGCTGGCCCTCTAGGAACTTACATTCTAGGGATA